AATAATCTTTTTTGTAATTATTACTGTTGGAGTTGTGGTATGCAATATCTGTTAGGTTGAATTACTTTCTCAGATTACGCAAATAACTTAAACTTCTGTTAGTTCTTTTTTATTGCCTGCGTTTATCTATTGATTGCCTTAATTGCTTACCTTGGTTATCTCGAATTATCTGGATTCTGAAAGGCCTTGGAATACTTGATGGTATGTATATTATGGCCAATCATTGTGCTTGTGTAATATAAAATCTTTTAAAATTAACATGCTTAAAGCCAACGGCCATAAAATAGATCTTGACCACTTAGACTTAAACCGTACCTACACATTTGAAGAATTTGAATTCATTAATGAACAATTAAAGACACATACCTTGGAGATCAATGAGACCCCTGTGGATCTATTCGAGTTCAATAAAGGAAAAATCCTTCCAATGCCCCAAAATCCAATAAGTAAGGAAGCTGTGGTTTGTGAAATTTCTAGACAACTTGGCAATTGGAATGTGCAGACTTGTGAAAATGGAATTACCACTACATCTCAGGGTGGATTTGATTTCAACATTTCTGGTCAACGGGCAATTCGTGCACCTGATGTTGCATTTACCCCAAAGAATATTTACCGTTCGCTTAATCATCAACAACAATGGACCTTCAAGGGTCAGCCATTTATGCCTACCTGCATTGTAGAGGTCACAGTTACTCAAGAAGGATACCAAAAATTCAATGATTTAGATCAAAAATTCAGGGAAGTTTACTTTGCAATGGGCTCGTCAGTTGAGCTTGGTTGGTTAGTGGACCCACAAAATAAGCAGATATATATTTACAGATGGAGGGCTAATAGGGTTGTTTATTGAACTTCACATGGCTGGGATAATGTAAATGGTGGCAATGTTTTGCCAGGATTCACACTTGAAGTAGAGAAAATTGATGATGCAATTTCACAGGTAAGCTTTATTACTTTCTATGTTATAATTTATTAATTTTTGTTATTTTTGTTATAAATTCATGTATTTCATGATTAGGAATCCTCAGAATCATCATCATCAGAAAGTGATGAAACAATTAACTGTCCTAAATGTGGAGCAACTTTCTCAAATTGTTACATTTTCATGAAACACTTTGAAGATAATCATACTCATAAATGGTGTAAAAAAGAATGAAATGATTAAATTTATGTATTTATCTTATTCTGGGAATAATTATAAAATATTAATAATATGCAGAAATTTATTTTGTATGAACAGATGTGAATATGTTTTTTAGTCTAACTGGCACATTAAAAGCTTTTGCAAATTAATAAATATATTGAATTTTATGATCAAATCACTCATATATGCATCACTGAGGTAAAATTACGATTAATAATATGTGATTGCCAAATCTTCTGTTTTTATGTATATATATATTAACATCACACAAGATGACCAAGAAACAAAATAATCAAAGTACCAGGCTTTTGGGGAACATCTTTAATTAGTGTAAAAGACTAAAAGGCACTATGATTATTGATATTATGTGTTGTGGTTGATATTTCCTTGCTTAACATAAATAAATGGGAAATTTTCCATGTTGCTGTCTCTTATTAGTGTAAAAAGGCAACGTGAGCTTTTGCATGCTGTGCTGCATGAGATCAAAGATTTAACATCATGTTAACATTAAAGTTAAGTTGGGATTAGATTGCGTCTTCTTCATCATAAAGAGCAAAAAAATCACATCACTTGGGTCAAGACAATAGTCTATTTTATTAAATTTGAATCATATAATGGGACATTCAAATCACGCCATCATTAGCAATTATATCTTTGATGTCACAATTATTATAAAATCACACGACTCAATCACTTATATATATATTCTTCTGAGCATCATAATTAGTCAACCGTGTTGTTATTTGTTCAATGAAGAAAATTTTTATTTATGATGTTACATGAATTATAAAAATGGGAATTGGTCATTGTAAAAAAAAACTGACCAAGGTTTTTTTTGAAAAGGAAACAGGATAATTCACAATTAACTTCCTGTGTGAAATTCAAATTAGCCAATCAGAATTTCACCCCACTCCATAATATTTCAATTTCACATACAACAGTAATAAACAATAACCAATTCAATTGTCAACTAATCAAAAATCATCAAAAGATAATTCGTAAAATGTGTTTCTAGTATTTTTAGCATACCTATTAATATATATATATATATATATATATACACATTTAAGTATAAAGTGATTACTAATATTCCATGCTATGTTAAACTGTAATTCAACTCCATAAATATATTTTCTTTACATGGATTCATTACTAATATGATTTTTGAAATTTGGCTATGTGATTCTAAAAATAATAACCATATAAATAATTATGAATCAATTTCTTATAATAAAAGTTAAAATTTTTCCAATGCAACCTTCTGAGTGACTATAAACGACTTTGTAAGGAACACTTTGACACAAATATTACTGTTGAGTTTGCTTTATTCTGCGCATTAGTTGGAAGAAAATCTTAAAGTAAATGTGAAAAAAAGTAACCCTTACAGTCTGGCGTAGAATAACAAATAAATAAGCTGGACTCCTATTTTAATAGTCGTTAGGAAGCCCTAGTCTGGCTCTAAAAATTTTATTATGATTATGATTAAAAAAGTCACTTGTTAAAAGAAAACCAACGAATCTTAAAATTTTTATTCATGTATATACATGGGATGGTAATTATTTTGCCAAAAACGTAATACGTAATATGTAAGTACGTAATTACGAAATTAAATTAAATGACACCTATTATTTATCTCGTTATACTTAGGGATGGGTTGGTTTCGCTAATAAACGGTTTGAACTCGGTTTTGAAACCAACCCCTGGTTTTTGGAACCGTTCAAACCATTCAAACCGTTCAAACCGGTTACACATGATCAACATGTGACACAAATAGTTTATTAAAATTTATTTTATTTAAAAATATCGTTAAATATAAATGATAAGAATAATATTATATATCTATCTATAAAAATTTGTATTTTAATAATCTCCTATTTTATTAATAATCCAGCTTTTCATACATAAGCATGCTCTTGCAGTTTCTGGCAACAAATGATTTCGAGTTTTACTAATTGTATTTCCAGCAACTGAGAATGCCTGTTCTGATGCAACACTAGTTGCTTGAATGGTAAGATAATCTTGTGCCATATTACTTACAATTGGGTATTCTTTGGCATGTGCCTGCCACCATAATAGAGGTTCTGTTTCTTCATCTATTGGTAATGCAAGATAACGATTTAATTCTGATGTTAAAGGTGCTGAAGCAATTTGTGGTGTTGGGTTACGAAGAAGTTGTGTGAAAAGTCGACGAGTTGCATTTGTGGTAGATGTAGATGATGATAACCTTCTTGCAGGAGATTGTGTATTGGAAGAATTCTGGTAAGTTTCAAAAATTGCTTGAATATGTTCACAAGCATTTTGTCTATTTCCT